CAGCTCCTCCAGCGCTGCCAGTGCCTCATCGGCAGCCTCATGTTCGCCACCAACGCGCGCCCCGACATCCAGTACACCGTCTCGCAGCTGGCGCGCTGCATGGCTTGGCCCGACGCGAACATCGAGGCCGCCGCCGAGCGCTGCCTCATCTACCTCATCGGCACGCAGGACCTCGGCCTCCACTACGAGCGCGTCGCCGACCCCAAGCTCTTCGGCTGCTCCGACGCGAACTGGTGCACCCGCCAGAGCACCTCCGGCTGCGCCTTCAAGATCGGCACCGCGATCGTCTCGTATTTCTCCAAGAAGCAGGGTCACATCTCCCTCTCGACATTCGAGGCCGAGATCTCTGCCGGCACGCTGGCGGCTTGCGAGGCGGTCCACCTGCGCTCGCTCCTCGCGTCGCTCGGCTACAAGCCCAAGGGCCCGACCATCATCAAGATCGACAACACGGCCGCGCTGCGCGTCGCCGAGGACCCGGTCATGCACGACAAGACGAAGCACATCCTGCGCAAGGAGCTCAAGATTCGCGAGCTCGTCGAGTCCGGGGAGGTCAAGGTCGAGTACGTCGAGAGCCTCAAGAACTTCGCCGACTTCTTCACCAAGCCGCTCCCGCGCAAGGAGTTCGAGTCGTTCCGCAAGGAGATCATGAACGACACCGCCTAGGACGGCACAGAGGGGAAACGCCGACTTCCCCTTCATCAAATGTAGTCGACAACCGGCAGTATGGGCGCTCCTGGAGCTCCCCGAGTCACTTGTATGTTCGTCCTCCACCCTTGAGGAGGCTGCGCAATTGTGCGCGCGATAGTAGGAGATGTAGGAGTCGTCTAGCTTCTTCAGATCCTCAGCCTCGCTACCCGATGCGAGGATGGGGGGCTGTTGAAGACCGACGACCGCGCAGCCGTCTAGTCTACGGCCACACACACACACATAGTGTCCTTACCACCCCTGGACTGCATCTGCGCAGTTTCGTACCGCTGCGGCGCGGTTTCGCAAAAACCGTTCTGCAGCGGCGCGGTTTTGCCCTTCACCCGCAGCCTGGATTGATAGTCATTGTGGGTGTGGGGGCCGCGGGCCAGGACTTTTGTTTGAACAAAGTTTTGACAGTACATTTCTGTCGGGCCTTGGAACAGCTTGTGAGTGGTCACTGAAGACCTTCACAGAGTGGCCAGTGGCCGGCCGGTGCTGCGCCGCGCGTGGTACTTGGCGTTCGCCTGCAGCGCGGCGTCGTCGAGGCCCTCGTTGCGGTCCATCTTGGAGAGGTCTGGCACGCCGTCCGCGATCTTGCTGAGATCCTTTAGCGCGTCGCCGGAGATGCACAGGGCGTGCCGCCAGAAGGTGCCATCCGTCGGGCGCCGCCCCGGCTTGCCGCGCACGATGGCCTTAGGACGGCACAGAGGGGAAACGCCGACTTCCCCTTCATCAAATGTAGTCGACAACCGGCAGTATGGGCGCTCCTGGAGCTCCCCGAGTCACCTGTATGTTCGTCCTCCACCCTTGAGGAGGCTGCGCAATTGTGCGCGCGATAGTAGGAGATGTAGGAGTCGTCTAACTTCTTCAGATCCTCAGCCTCGCTACCCGATGCGAGGATGGGGGGCTGTTGAAGACCGACGACCGCGCAGCCGTCTAGTCTACGGCCACACACACACACACATAGTGTCCTTACCACCCCTGGACTGCATCTGCGCAGTTTCGTACCGCTGCGGCGCGGTTTTGCAAAAACCGTTCTGCAGCGGCGCGGTTTTGCCCTTCACCCGCAGCCTGGATTGATAGTCATTGTGGGTGTGGGGGCCGCGGGCCAGGACTTTTGTTTGAACAAAGTTTTGACAGTACATTTCTGTCGGGCCTTGGAACAGCTTGTGAGTGGTCACTGAAGACCTTAGCGCAACCAGTAGGAGGCCCAGTAGGAGGCCCGCGCCTGCCCCCGTGCCGCCGGGTGCAACCTGTCCTATACGAGAGAGGAATCCCTGGGACCCTGTCGTGTGGGTGAACCCTGCCCAGCCCCCCTCCGTGTCGCGATGCGCTCCCGCGCACGGCGAAGGTGGCGTTGGCGATGGTGGCCGCGTACACCCAGGCGCAGCCCCAGTACTGGTAGAGCTGGGCGGCGCCATGCCCCCCTGCGCGCGCCATCATCTCCCGCACGATCCTGCCGCAGGTAGCGTTCGCACGCTCGCACGCCCCATTCTGCCACGGCTCGTAGGGGCAGCTGTTGCGGAGGGTGATGCCGTACTTGAGGCAGAGCTCGCGCACGGCGCTGGAGTTGAGGACGACCTCGTTGTCGCAGAACGCAACTCCTCCGCGGAGCGTGTGGCCGTCCTTTCCCTCGTTCTCGGCGAAGTACTTGCGCAGGTAGGCAGGCGTCTGGCCCTTGGTCTGCAGGATGTACGGCGTGATGGTGCTGGTGTGCTCGTCGACGACCATGAGTGCGTAGCGGTGCCCATCGACGCCTACCACACCCTTGGGCGACCAGAGGTCGTGTTGAAGACCGACGACCGCGCAGCCGTCTAGTCGACGGCCACACACACACACATAGTGTCCTTACCACTCAGGGACTGCATCTGCGCAGTTTCGTACCGCTGCGGCGCGGTTTTGCAAAAACCGTTCTGCAGCGGCGCGGTTTTGCCCTTCACCCGCAGCCTGGATTGATAGTCATTGTGGGTGTGGGGGCCGCGGGCCAGGACTTTTGTTTGAACAAAGTTTTGACAGTACATTTCTGTCAGGCTTTGGAACAGCTTGTGAGTGGTCACTGAAGACCTTCACAGTTGGTAGCGGCGGTGCAACGATCCCCGGGACATTACGACAACATGTCGTCGACGGACAAGCTGGTGATTCCGGCCTACAAACAGGGCTCCGTCGGCAAGCCGCTCAAGGTCCACGAGGGAAAGGTGCACGAGTTCCTCGGGCTCACCATCACCAAGACGCAGACCGGTTTCAAGCTGTCTGCCAGCAAGTACATCGACACGGCGCGCGCGTGCTTCTTCCCGTCAGGCGTCACGCACGCGGGCTACAAGGTGCCCGCGGACAAGGACCTTCCGTCCATCGTCATCAGCGCAGCCGAGAAGAAGACCGCGCCCGACCCGCAGCTCCTCCAGCGCTGCCAGTGCCTCATCGGCAGCCTCATGTTCGCCACCAACGCGCGCCCCGACATCCAGTACACCGTCTCGCAGCTGGCGCGTTGCATGGCTTGGCCCGACGCGAACATCGAGGCCGCCGCCGAGCGCTGCCTCATCTACCTCATCGGCACGCAGGACCTCGGCCTCCACTACGAGCGCGTCGCCGACCCCAAGCTCTTCGGCTGCTCCGAAAAAGGAAAGAAAACGGACAACCCAAGGGAGGGATGGGAGGACGGCACGCCGCCACCACACAGGGATTTTAAGGAGAGGGGTGAGCTCCGACGCGAACTGGTGCACCCGCCATTCTATTTTTTTTTACCTGAGCGGGCTCAATTTTGCTCTAGGTGCCTCCTACGATTCGATCCCGCGTTCTCAGGCAGTCGCCAGGCCCAATGCCTTGGCGGCGGCGGGTTGGGGAGCTGTCTCTCTGGGCGTCACGTTGCATACTGTCTTGCACGTGGCCCCAGTGGAGGTCTGCCCATGTGGCGGCCTCTTCCATGCCGCACCAGTACGGTTCCTGCGCTGCCTGCATTGCAATCGACATTGCGGCGGCATGCGGCGGCATTGTGACGGAACGTCTGGGTGCGGCGGAACGTCGGCTCAAAAGGCCCATCGCCGACGATATGATGCACCTGCCCCACTGGCGTGGGATCAGGGCGAGATGTCATCACGCGAGATTGCGCAAGACTCGGACGATGGGGTTGGAGCAAGCAGCCCGAAGCTGCGAGCCGACGGCCGCGCTCTTTCGGCGCGGCGCCAGTCAGTAATTTGGATCGCGCATTTTGGGTGTTGCTTGCTGTGCACCTCTCCTCACGTTGAAGGATAGGCTAGTTCCATTTCACTCTGACACGCTAATCTTGAAAACGTCCAACGGAGCTCCGTGTTGCTCCCAGCGCCCTCCCCCGCGCTTCCTGCGGCCATGGCCGATGATACTAGTATGAGAGGTCATCTGGCTACCGCGAGCGCGACTCAACTCGCCGACGTCGTCCGATGATTGTGCCTCAAAGTCAGCCTCCGGAGGCTATCGTGGGGTCGAGCCGGCAGTAGCCGTGACATGTGGTTCCACCACCCCTCGTATGCTTTGCCTCTGACCGCCACCGTTCCCAGGCTGCCAAATGGGATGGAAAGGAAGGCTCGGCGAGCGTATAGAAGCGTGCTCGACCTCGTCGTGGCAACCTGCACGGCAGCGCTGGTAGGCGCGATGAGCGTCGTGCCACCTGACCCGAGACGGGTCGCAGGCGTCGTACCGAGCGCGTCGAGACCGTGTCCTGATGTGATCTGCACGGGTGAGTCACGTCGGCGTCCAAGGAGCGACGTGCTAACCAATGTCCCGA